TCTGCTAGCTGTCTACACTTCACGCCACACATTGCCTTTTTCTCAGATGGAGCTCTGTGATTTAATTTCCTCTGCTTTGCCACTCTTCTTTGTAGCTGGTCTAATTAATGTTAGGTTCTCTTGGTGGAAAATTGATTTTGCCAGGCTGCTTTGTGGCTTTCAAGAGGCTCTGAAGAAATGAGCATGATCAAAAAGGGTAATAGAGGAAGTGAGTACTTCCAAACATCTGAATCTCAAATTGCTGGTTCATACCATTTTAAAGGAGAAGAGGTGGAGCTTCTGTCCTTACGGGAGGGTCAGATTTCCATGGTTAGGTTTTAATACTTGCTATTGAAGGTATGCTTTCAACTGTCAGCTGATCTACATAAATGAGGGCACAGCAAAGATACTTTCTTGTCTCAACTCAACCGTCATTCCCAGCTCCCTGACCTCTTCAGTGTCTGGAGATTCTGAAGAGTGTGATCAAAAAGAAAGCAGATGGTGTTCTTTAAAGGTACTTTTAGAAGGTGTTAAAAATCCTAACCTGAATATCATCAGGTGAGGCTAGTAACAGCCAACTTCAGCAGCAGGTCATCTGCTGAGCAAACAGAGAAAAGTTTTCTATCATTTAGCATAATCACGTCCTGGAGCCTTGAAAATTAAGTTTCTTTCAGGCTAACTAATGGGCCCAGTCATCCAGTCCCTCTGAATCTGAAACTCTTGTGGGTTGGCGACTTCACGGACAGACACAACCTCAAAATAGAAATGGTTGCACAGCTGCACATGACATATGAAAACATACAAAGTCATACAAAACGGTAAAGCCCTCTTACCTCCTGCAGTATATCCATGATTAGAAACTTTTTATAATGTCTCTACACAAAGGCCTGTGATACCTATCACCAGGCATAGGGCACTCAGATGCAAAGTATAATATATGGAATATGATGCCTTTTTTTTTGTGGAAGAGGTTATGCATGGAGGTTTTGCATTTGAATATAATCACTGAGTGAACTGAAAATCACGTAGATTGTGAAAATTATTCTCTATCGGCAAATATGTGATTGGTAGATGTCAAGTTTGTTGACTTTACAGAGAGGGACTCTGAGGTGGGCTTGACCATGTTTGGCTGACAGACCCTCACACAGCTGCTCTATCACTCCTCAACAGGACAGAAAGAGAAAATAGATGAAAAAATCTTGTGAGTCAAAATAAAGATCGACAACTGTCATAGGCCAAACAAGCAGAATTTGGGGAAATTAATTTTATTTCTTGTCAATTACTTGCAGCAAACCTGCGCCAGTGTGGGCTCCTCTCTCCATGGGGCCACAGGTCCTGCCAGAAGCCTACTCCAGAGTGGGCTTCCCATGTGGTCACAGCCTCCTTCCGACATCCCCCTGCTCCCACACGGGGTCTTCCATGTGCTGCAGGTGGATATCTGCTTCCCTGTGGACCTCCATGGGGTAATTTCAAAATCTTTCAGCCATTTTTTCAAAAAAGAATATACAACTGTATTTTAATGATCTTAAGATACTGCATAGTACTACATATAAAATTATTATAACTGCAATCGCTGTTTTTAAATAAATGTTACTTTTCTTTCCCTCCTTCTCTTAAGGCCACACTGATAAGCTTCTTCTGTACCGTGGATCAACAATTCAGAAAGTATGAACAGTTGAATACAGTGCTAGAAAAATTTTCTGCACTGAGATCCTCAGACCCAACTTTCATTTGACATTGCCTAGATTTTCAGGAAAGCATTGTAGCTCCACATCTACTTCAAGCCTCCTTCTGTAGAGAGGACCGTAGGGATGTTTTCTCCTGAAAGCTAGCTGCACTGTGCCTGCTAGAAGAGACACTATGGTACTTACTGCAGCAGGTCTGGGACACGCTGTACGGGCTCAAAGGGAACCCAGACACCCCCAGTCTAGAGTTTCTGTTCTCAAGTTTTACAGTGATATGCAGTGATGTCACACAGTATCTTTTAGGTGTATCCCTATACACACAAATTTAGATATGGGGAATGGTAGAGCCATGGCAGCATGATGTTTTGTTATACGGTCCTGCTTCCCAGTCTGAGAGGAAGGCTGCACTGATGCCATTGTCCTGCTTTTAGCAATGAGCTAGCTCCATTATCAAAACAATACACTGCCACATTGCCATGTATTTCTTCTCCCATGAGTATTTTCATCTAAGAGCATGGGAGAAAGAAGAAATATAAGTCTCTCACTACGTCTTCTCCCATATTGTTGGGCATACGAAACAGGAGACCTCCACCACTATCAGGTGAGTTCTTGTTTCTTTTTTTTGTAAACTACAGATATCAATTAAAAATGTTGGGTTTTTTTTTTTCACTTGGTAAGCTATAGTTTGAAATTATTAATGTCCCAGTGTGCTGGCAATGTCTTTGAATGGGCTGCTCACTACCAAAACATTTTTCAGAATATTTATTTACACTAGAGGTAAAATTCTAAACTTTAAAAAGCTTTACAAACTTCAATTTGGTCTTTGCTGGTTTTCTGTGTGGTAGGAGAGGAGCAGGAATGGAGAACAGATGCTTTTATAGACAAGTCCTGAATTAATGTATTTTGCATGATAAACTGAATATGCAAAGGACTGAGCTGGAAATTCATTTTGTTCTTTTCTTTTATTCCTTTTCTTTCTCTATCTATGACTTGTATTATTTGTGAGTGAATCTGTAGAAAACAAGAATTTGGTAGGTCTGCTTTCTTTAGGAGGAATAAAACATTCCCAGCACAAGGAAACAAAATTGAAGTCTCACTAAGCATAAGAAAAATGCATGAGAGTGATTGTGTATCATTTTGTTCCATGCATTATCATGGAACAAGAACAATACAAAAGAACTGGCAGAATTTTACCTACAAAATCTGTTCATAAAATCTGAAATATGATAAAGTCATTTAGGCTATTCATAACATAAAAATAGAAAAACTTTAGAACAGACAGTATTTGAACAGCTGAAATGTAAAGTTAGTATGTACAGAAAACCCCATAAAACTACTTTTCCTTCAACAGTTGAATCAGAAGTCTGTTAGTTTTATCACCTGAGGAAAAGAAACTGCATATCATTACAGATTATTGGAACCTCTACTTAATGCATCACAGTGTTGGAAAAAACCAAATGATACGTCAGGCTACATAAAAAATCAATGGGGGAGAATACAGCAAAAGTAGTGTGATTATGTTGCTAGTTCTACAATATCAGCCACCATTTTTTGAGAAAAATTGCACAGAATTACTGAAGGCTTGAGAGAAGGGCATAATTATTGAGAACACAGAAGAACACAGATTGAAAAGAGTGGAACTGTTTCCTTTAGAAAGGAGATGAATAAAAGGAGATGAGAAGTAACTATACAAAATAAAGAAATGTGGTAGGAAAGGTAAATGGGGAACTTCTGTTTCCTCTCTCTTGCAATGCAAGAACAAGAAGATATGCTAACAAAACTGAAAGCTGCCAAAATGAAAACTGAAAATGAAAACTGATAATATCCATTCCTCACAGCAGATAATTAGACTGTGGAGCAAATACATTGATAGAGATGCAGTTGGGGTCAAGGATTCTGCAAGGTTGAATGAAATTTGAATGGTTATATGAATTAATGCCAACAGGAATATCAGAAAGAATATAAATCCTCAGTTTTCAGGGCTAACCCCAGTTTTTCACTTCTAGCAACAGGTAGAAGGCTCTCAGTATCAGGCTTCATTTTTCATATGAACTGTATTTCTCACTTCTATTAGTAAGATTCCCATAGTACGGTCAGCAGAATTTCTCACATAAGCCTATTTTGCAGTGTTGCTTGGATTGCATTTTAGGTCTGTTCACAGTAACATGACAGCACTGAAAATGGTGTAAAAGCCCATTTCCAAAAAAACAATCCAGTCATCACTTCCATTTCCAAAATCCAGAGATGAGTCATTCCCCTCCTACAGGTAAATATATCCGTATGAACATCAAGCTCTATAAACTTCTACGTATATCCTCAAAGCGAAAAAAGCCCCAACAACCAAGAGCAGAGTCCATCTCTGTATTGATAAAACTCAGGTTTCAGCCCACTCTTAACCACTCTCCAGTTTAGCAAGTGCCCTGTCAAGTAGATGTATCTGAGTACCAAAATGGGTACAAACCTGCAACACTAGATTATGGTGAAGGGAATATAAGCAGAAAAGGTTTGTAAGTAAAGGAATTAAGAAAGGGTTCCTTGAAGGCAGACAGCAGCCATGCAGAGAGTAGCCACACTTCTTAGAGGACCACAGGATCACAAGGTGAATCAAGGAGTGAAGAAAATTAGCAATCTCTGGTCCAACCTCCTGCCCACATCAGGTCAGCTTTAAGGTCAAACCAGGCTGCTCAAGGTTTCATACAGTTGGGACTTGAAGATTCTCCTGGAAGACATGCTAAGGCCCATGAAAAACAGCAAGGTGGTTGGTGACAGCCAGCATGGCTTCACTAAGTTGAAACCCTGCCTGACCAATTTGGTGGCCTTCTATGATGGGGCTACAGAACTGATGGACAGGGGTAGAGCAGTTGGTGTCATCTACCTGGACTTGTGTAGAGCACTCGACACTGTCCCACACGACATCCTTGTCTCTAAATTAGAGAGACATCAATTGATGGATGGACCACTTGGTGGATAAAGAACTGGCTGGATGGCTGCACGCAAAGAGTTGTGGTCAATGGCTCAATGTCCAGCTGGAGACCAGTAATGAGTGGTGCTGGACATGCTTGTGAGGTGGGCTGATGCCAGCCTCATGAAGTTTAACCATGCCAAGTGCAAGGTCCTACACCTGAGTCAGAGCAATCCCAGGCACAGCTACAGGTTGGGCAGAGAAGAGATTCAGAGCAGCCTTGAGGAGAAAGACTTGGGTGTGTTGGTCGATGAGAAAATGAACATGAGCCGGCTTCGATGTGCGCTTGCAGCCCTGAAAACCAACTGTGTCCTGGGCTGCATCAAAAGGAATGTGACCAGCAGGTCAAAAGAGGTGATTCTGCCCCTCTACTCTGCTCTTGTGAGACCTCACCTGGAGTATTGTGTGCAGTTCTGGTGTCCTCAACATAAAAAGGACATGGAACTTTTGGAACAAGTCCAGAGAAGGGCCATGAGGATGATCAGGGGACTGGAGCACCTCCCGTATGAAGACAGGATGAGGAAGTTGGGGCTGTTCAGCCTGGAGAAGAGAAGGCTGCTTGGAGACCTCATAGCAGCCTTCCAGTATCTGAAGGGGGCCTATAGGGATGCTGGGAAGGGACTCTTCATTAGGGACTGTAGTGATAGGGCAAGGGGTAACGGGTTCAAACTTAAACAGGGGAAGTTTAGGTTGGATATAAGGAAGAAGTTCTTTACTGTAAGGGTGGTGAGGCACTGGAATGTGTGTCCCAGGGAAGCTGTGAATGCTCCATCCTTGGCAGTGTTCAAGGCCAGGTTGGACAGAACCTTGGGTGACATGGTTTAGTGTGAGGTGTCCCTGCCCATGGCAGGAGGTTTGGAACTAGATGATCTTAAGGTCCTTTCCAACCCTAACTATTCTATGATTCTATGACTTGAAAACCTCTGAGGACAGAGACTGCATAACCACTCTGGGCAGCCCATGCCACTGACTGTCATGACAGGGATGAAATGTGTCCTTATATCCAGTCTGACAGTCTGAACAGGAGAGCTGTTTCACTTTAAGCGTGTTGTCCATGCTATGTCTGTATGTTACTGTGAGGCTGGTGAGACACTGGCCCAGGCTGCCCAGAGAAGCTGTGGCTGCGCCATCCCTGGCGGTGTTCAAGGCCAGGTTGGATGGAGCCTTGGGTGACCTGGTTTAGAGTGAGGCAACCCTGCCCATGGCAGGGAGGTTGGAACTAGATGATCTTAAGGTTCTTTCCAACCCTAACTATTATATGGTTCTATGATTAATAGTTAGACTTAGTAGGGAACTATGTCTGTGCTTTAAAACTCTACAGAATCATTTATCAGCCTGTGAGGAAGGAAAGAGCTTACTATTGTTTACTAATACTTTTAAAATGAACTATTTTAACATTATTATTGCATCTCTCAAAGTTATCAGTTATTTTAGGGCTCTGCCATAAAGACTTTATTAATTTTTTATATGTGAAGATAAGGCTTCTGCCATAGTGGTGCAGGCACTGACAGAGAATGTTTTTTAGATAAACTGTTTTACTGAGATCTCTACAGAGGATAAAACTCACAAGGGAAATTGAATTTCTCAAGTGGGATAACCAGCTGCTGTCTGGTTGGTGATGTGGGTCTGCAAGAGTCATTGCAGCAGCATCTTCAGCTAGATTAGGTGAGACACTCCAAACTCTAGGCATGGGGATTTTTTATATTCAGCTGTGCTAGGGTCCTGCATGTTCACACCTACAAGCAAGATCCATTGCTACCAATTTTCTTCAACTATGTAAAAGCTTTTCCTATCTTAAGTGTGTGCAAAGGACTTTCCTATGTGACCATTCCAGCCATGACCATCTGCAGAACCAGTTTCCACTGACCATACAGGTGCCATTTATGTACATTTCAGTCGATTTGGATGCAGGAGCAACCTCAGAGCATCTCTGGAAAGGCCCGAGTGACTACCTGGGATGTTACTCAACATGCTGAGGAGAAGCAGCTGTGTCTGTCAGTTGGTCTATACACAGCAGCAGCTGCCCAGGGGGAATCTGCAGATCTGCTCAAAATCCCCCCTTGAGAGCAGCTGTCAAAATTGGTCGAATGCTTCATAGCAAAGCCAGTAGGAGTTCAGCTTAGCACTTTGTTGCACATCAGCTCATTGAACCAAGCCAGTCCCACGTCTCTTATATGCAGAGACTGGCTGGGTTGTTCCTGGAACCCCCAGGGAATGAGTGACTGGGAAATGCAAGCAAGCAAATCCATGCTATCACAGTTATAACTACAGGGCAAACTCCAATCTTATTTTTATATCAGACTAAAAAGCTAAATCTCTTAACTTTTGCCACAGTGGATGTATTTGGTAACCAGAACTTCAAAGGAAGTACTGAGGTCAATACTTGAGTCTTCTGTCAGATGCAATCTACTAAATCACTCATGCAAAGGGAAATCAAATAAATACCTCAGTTTTAATGACAGTATAAGGTGCTGTTTATTTCCCTGCATAGTAAATCACTATTTCTTTTCTCTTTACTTTTATTTGCCTTGTTTCTTTTGTTCTATAGCTCATGCATAATTTCACACCGGTGTAATGTCTGAAGAACTAGGATTTTGCTTATCAATTTATTTAATAAAGACAGACCACTCCAAGAAACACACAGAGCCACTTCACAGGCTGAACTAAAGGGGCCTGGGCTGTTTATGCCAGCAGAGATTTCCTTTTTTCAGCCTGCTGAGAAACCTCGTACTCTTAATAATAATGTTAAAAGACTCACAAAGCTAAAATCAAGTATCTAAAACCCCAAAAGAGATAAGAGGAAAAGTACAAAGAATTTAATTTGTTAGAGAAGCACAAACTGTGAACAGATCCTGTGATGAATACTAGGCAGTTTGAAGCAAAAGGCTCTTCTAAGAAGTCCTTCAAGGGTATGTGTGATGCCTGTTTTGATGAGTCAAGTCTGCACACTGTATGGAGTTGGTGCCCAGTCAGACACAGCACAGGCTACATGCAGACCTTCCTGATAAGATCCTACCAAGATGCCCAGTAGTAGTCCTTTGCGAAAGCAGCCAATATACAGACATGGAAGACAAGCTTTCCCTGTGTCTCATGACACTGTCAAGCAAGTCCTGGTGCACATCCAGTGATGTTGATAGATGATGGTAGATGGTTAGGAGATTCAAAGGAGAAGGATCACTCACTCACAGAGAATGAACAAGGGAGCCTTACAGTCTCTCCAAAGATTTAATATTACATAAACAGTCAGACATGTGCTGTTACCTTCCCTTAATCAGAAATAGGGGTTATGTTGCTAAAACAGGTATTGTCCCAGATTGAATATAGGGTGCACCTGGCCACCTCAGCTCTGGAAAATTATATTTTGGGGAGGTACTAGGGAAAAAGGGTCTGAAGCAGAAAAATGATACTAGGAAGCAGGAAAGAAAGGATGCTGCAAAAAACAGCTGTGCTCCCAGAGATCAGCTAACCTGACATTTGCCTAACAGCTTGCTCATATTACACGTTGTGTGCAAGACCATGCTCTTCGGTTTCCAGCTGAGTATATTTGATGCCGTACTGTTTCTTCAACGGCTTATGCCATCTCCAGGAACTGAGTTTACTCCCCCAGATTCAGGGCTATTGCTAAAAGGTGTTAAACATCTAAGCATCTTTGGACAGAAAAGCATAGCCTTTCAGACACTCTCCTGTCTATCAATCTTGTAAAGCCGTCTAGACTGTCCCGGGAGAGGGGGTGGAAGTGTAAATCAGATATATGTATAAATCTAGAAGTGTAAATCAGATTCTATAAGCATGCCTATGCAATGTGACGTGGGGAAAAAAATCACACAACTTTACCAAGACAAAACCCCAACAGCCCTCGTGAAGCTGCAGTACGAAATTATTCTTTCTTTGGAACTCAATAAATGGCTGAAATCTTCTAGGATCTGTGTTCAACAATTCTGTGGCTTTGACACAGTGCAGCTTATACCATGCTGAAGTAGAAACACAGCTCACCACATGAGGATAGGTCACGCTATTGCAAAATAATTTATGCGAGGAGAAGCACTGGCTGGTACCATGGGGGTAATAATGTTTATTACCTGTGAGCCCATGGTGGCAGCAAATGTGCACTGCAACAGCTGTATCTCACCAACGCAGGAGTCACCCGCACTGCTGATACAGTCATGGTCATTTTAGTTACAGCAAAGTAATATTGGAGAAAGCCATAAGACATGCCCATGTAACAGTACCTGGTGCATGCTTTTAATATTCCATTATTTATCATTTTATTTTCTTGCAATAAAAAGCCTGAAACATCATTTCCCTACCAAAGTTCAGCTGTGCCTGGCTTTTCTGTGGTCCTGCAAGGAAGGACAGTTAAACTTTCCAGTTTCACACTTGACTGATCCGAGTGCTGTTCCCTGCGTTGAGACCCCAGGCTGGCTGCAATTTTTGATTTTATTTTGGACTTTTTTTTCAGAGATCCAGTGTCATCTTGCAGTTCAGACAGTGCAGAAATTAGCCAGATGGACTACAGCTTTGGGATTACTGTGGTTAAGTCGGTGTTTTCCAGAAAAATGCAGTTGAACCTGCAGAGCTCCATGCCAATGGCTTTAAACCAAGCCTAGTTTGCTGTAAGGGGTTTTCTACTGAGAAGAGAAATATGCTCCTGATGAAAAAATTATTAGATAAGGGAGTTTTTTAGAGTTATGAAGGTCAGACTGAGTGATATGTATTCCCCTGGGGCAAGAATCAGGGAGGATGTAAAAGCATGTGCTGTTTTGGGGCTGCGTTCACATCTCCTGCTGCTGAAGCCACCCACCAAGGAGGGCTGTTTCTCAGTCTCCTGGCAAAGAGCAGGCAGTAAACAGGCAGGGTAAGGAATTACAAAGAGCTCAGATATGGTTCCAGAACAGATAACTTCCTTGCTAGTCTAGTGGCAATGCCAGAGGGACAAAGGAATCTGTTCCTAAGGCACCAAAACCTGTGATGCCTCTTGTTACATGTTAGAAAGTGAATTTGTGTCCTGAACCTTTTTTTATTTAAGATATTTTCCCATTATGTAATTCAGCTCTTCGGACAAGATTTCATGAAGTGCTGCATCAAACTCCAGATCACATGCAAGGCCTTTAAATCAATAGCCTGTTTGGCACCTCCTGACTTACAATACAATTTTGAAAGCAACCAGTTGTGATGGAATTCTGTTTTCCTTTTTTTTTCTCTTCACATAGTGATGTGGTTTGCTCCTCATTGCTCAATTATCTGTGGGGTTTTGTGTTATATGGCACTTATAATTTTCACTGGCAGACGCTATATCTGTTTGGATCTTATTCACTAGTTCTTTTTCACTTCATCCAAGTACTTCCCCTGTATCTCTTTCTTTCAGACTCTGAGTATGCCAAGAAATTAACCTTTATGTTTTACCACTGTGAAAACAAGTTATATACGGCAAACTTTCTTTGTAGCAGAAATGGCCGCCAAACGTGTCAAACTAAAATGTGGCACTCATAAGCCATTTAAAAAAGATATCAAGGATGTTCTTGGTCTGACTGTTCAGTAAATAATCAAGAAGTTAACATATAAATAATAATAAAAAGAATGTATATAACTGGTGGAAGTTGCTTCAGAGAAATCTGAAGAAAATTCAGCTCTACCCAATCAGGACCATGCAGAGAAAAGAATTTAAAAAAAAGGGAGCTAAATTATGAACTGTATTTTTCTGTGTGAA